CGGGTCTCAGTGCAGCCCGGGTGGCTCCGGGAGGCACCCCAGTCAATGCAGCGCATGGGCAGGCGTATCTTATATTATCTTATATTAGTTACGTTGATACGGGATGTGCTGATACCACGTAACGTGGGGATGCGAGTGCCGCCTCCAGCCAGGCCGCGAGAGCCGCTCCCCGCCCGCAGGGCCGCAGGGCCCGGCTCGCCTACCTGCCAGATGCAGGGCCCTGGCGCTCTGCAGGTGGCCCGGGCTCCGGGGGCTGTCGGCCGCGCTCCTGTCCAGCAGGAGGCTGTGGTCCGCCCGGCACAGCAGCTCGTGGTCCCGCAGCGAGAACTCGTCCCCGGGCAGGAGCTGGCGGCTGCAGACGGAGCAGCGGAAGCACTCGATGTGGTACACGTTGTCCCGGGCTCTCATCACCAAATCACTGCTGCTGAAGCCCACCTTGCACTTGGCACACTTGATGCCGAACAGCCTGCGGGAGGGAAGGCGCCATGAGGAGACACGCTCACCCGCGCGGATCCCGGCTCCCTCCTCGCCCCCGAGCCACCCGGCGGGGCAGGGCGGGGCAGGGCAGGGGCTGCCTCGCCCGCCGGAGGAGAGATCTCAGCCGCTCTCTCCCGTCCGCAGCAGGGATCGGATTCACAACAGGAAACCCCCCTCCCTGGTCGCCACGTTCCTCCACACCAGCCATTAGGAAAGTGACAAGCTTTGCAGGTCCCAATTGTCTCTTGTTTCCTGCTGTGATTATTCCTCACAATTTATATTAGTATTATCATTCTCATCGTCATCAGCCTCACTATTTCCCTGTATAAATTGCCAGTGACTTCCTGTCTCCAAAGGACAAAGCCGAATCAACGGGAAGTGCATCTGTCCTGCCTGCAACATCCCTAGCTCTGTCCTTTGGCAGGCAGGGACCTGCAATTTCACAGGGAGGGGATGGAGGGGGGCGACTCCTGAAATGAGCTCTCAGGAAACTGGAGGGAGAGGGAAGTTCATTTTTGTTTTTTTTGTTTTTTTGGGG